CGGATAAGGGTAGGCAGAGAGGCCCAGAGGGCGCAAAGGACGGAGGAAACTTCTAGAGAAATGCTCTAGAGAGCATTTCACAAAGGGCACATTTGAGCTGGGTTTTGAAGGGTGAACAGGAGTTCACCAAGGAGAGGGCAAGAGATGTGCCCAGGCAGCCAAGGATAAATGCAATCAAGATGGACCGAGGGACGCACCGTCGCACTGCTGCAGGATCTCCTCGGCCGTGCTGTCGTAGTGAGCCAGGGGGTTGCTGGCGTTGCGGTACTGCATGGAGAGAGCAGAGCCCGTGAGCTGGCCCCCGACACCTCAGTCACCCCACATCCCTCACCGAGACCCCCCAGGAAACGCCTTCCCCCAGGCCCCGGCGCCTCACCTGGTCTAGGATGTGAGAATTGGGGATTTCATTCTTCAGCCGCCAGGCCACCCCGACGTGTGACTCCGGAGAGTCGAACCTGGCGCTGGTGGGCGTCCTCACAATCTCAGCCCCCAGGGCCCGCAGCACGTCCACCTGCATGAGGAAAGGGGGTGACCTGCATCTTCCCCCAGCCCAGACGCTCCCCACCCCGGCCCCGTGGACCCCGCCCCGGCGGTGCCCACCCACTTCTCCGAGCTCATCTTCTCCGGCATCACGATGATGCAGCGGTAGCCCCTCACGGCCGCAGCCAGGGCCAGCCCGATCCCTGAGGGCGCACAGAGGGTGAGAGGGGCCTGGTGCCCCCCAAGCCCTACCCTTCCCCTGCCTGGGACATAGGGGCACACCCCCATGCTGCTTCCTTTAGGGCCCAGGGAAGAGGGTTCTGTGGGATTCCAAAACTGCCCAGCATAGCTGCCTCTGCCTTCATGTGTGGGGGAGAGACTGCCAGAGGCGAAAACAAAAGGCATGAAACCAGGAGGCAGCGGCACAGGACGGGAGATCCGAGTCCCCAGGCCCCCCTGGGTGCGCGGGCACAGGAACAGCAGACGCCGGGTACTCATCCCATACCAATTCCCAGGCACTGCCAGCTGCCATTGCCCCAACAGCATTGGCACCCATCAGCCCCGACCCCGACCACTGGTTAGAGGAAGCTGGGCCAGGACACAGGCTGGCAGTGGGCACGAGCTGCCAGGGTGCAGCTGGCCGGGCAGCCCAGCTCACGCAGCTACAGCTTAGCCTCCCCCAGGCCCCGGCAGGGTCGGCACGGGCGGGGGACCGCCAGCCCCGCCAGCCCCGCTGGGCCCGGCACCCACCGGTGTTCCCAGACGTCGGCTCGATGATCGTGTCCCCCGGCTTCAGCGTCCCAGCGCGCTCGGCATCCTCAATCATCCGCAGGCTGATACGGTCCTTCACGCTGCCACCCGCGTTGAAGAACTCACACTTGGCCACTGGGAGGCAGTGAGTCACAGAGGAGAACCCCCACTGATTCCTGCTCACCCCCCATGACCTGATACATCCCAGGATGGGGGACCGGCTTGAGGGCCTGTGGCTTCTGAAAAACCCCCACCTCTGCACCCCAACCCCTGCACCTGCACCGGGCGCTCACCCATCAGCTTCTCCCCCTCATCCTACCAGCTCTGCATGGCACAGAGCAACTCTGTGGGGACCAGAGGCATAAGCAGCCCTCACTGGGGGTGCCACCCCAGTCCCCCCCCACCATGAGCTGGGCATGTAGCGGGCACCTGGATTCGGGTCCCCCATGTCCCTATGCCCAGCCATACCCAGTGGTCCCTGCCAGAGCAGCTTCATGTCCTGAAGCCACGGCCCCAGTCATACCCCGGCCCCACCGGATGGGGACTCGCAAACTCTCCCCTGCAGCCTCCCACTGTCCTCCTTCCCCTGCGGGTCTCTGTGAAGGGGGCTGCTCTGATGCAGCACCAAGAATTCCCTCCCTAGAGGGGCAGAGTAGGGGCAGGCTCCCACAAGGCCCTGCCTGTGAATCGGCCATCAGTCCTCAATGCACTGACCCCTGACTGCCTTCCTCCAGAGCCTGCCCCAGCTCTTACAAGTCGTTGTGACATTACAGCATCTCAGGATGAAAAAGTTCTAAGCCATGTTACTGGTTCCCTCGCCTTCCCACCCAAACTGCACCCCCTCCACTGGCCCTGCCACAGGGTTCTCCGTGGCTTCCGCCCTGCCACCCTCCGAACTCACTCGGCCTTGGTCATCTGTCCCTACCTCGTCCCCAAGGCCTCTGCACCCACAGCTTTCTCCGTGACGACGCCGAGGTCTCTGAGGGGCCTGCGCTCTTGGTGAAGAGTGACCCTCACAAATTCCCTCCACCCTCTTGTGCCTGGAAACTGCATCCTGCAAAGAACCGCCCTTCCCCGGAAGCCTTAGACCAGACCCTGTGTGTACCCAGGACAAGACCAGCCACAGACCCCCCACATTCCCACTGTCTGTCTCATAAATGATGAGCTGAACTGTCTGTCCCCACGAAGCTGGCAAGACAGAGCCAACTGGTCCCTGACCAGCAGGGGCTCACAGCACGTGTCTAGGACCGTCCACTCCTCCCTGGGAGGCATGATGCAAACGCTCCCGCCCTGCTTGCGTCTGCCTTTGACCCTCACCAACTCTTCACACCCTTGCGCCTTCCACTCTGGCCTCAGTTCAAAGATCACCCGTTCCCTGGTCCATTGGCTCGGGAGCCACGTCAGTCACCCTCTGACACGTTGTGTATTCTTCCCAAACTTAAACTGATATGATCTCAGCCACTGATTAACCAGCGACTCCTGACCTCATTGCCCACCCCCCACCCCAGGGCCTTGCCTGCGCAATCCATCCCAGATCCCCGGGCCCATGGAGCCCGCTGAGGATGGAGGAAGCCCCTCTCAGAGCCAGGGCACTCACAGAGCTCGCATTTCAGGCCGAACTTCTGCCCAATCTTGTTGATTCTCACCATGGGGGTGTCCCCGATCTTCCTCAGAATGTCTGGCAAGATTTTTGGAGCTTTTGCCCTGAAACAGAGGGGTCCACAGTCATCCAGGAAAACACGAAATAGTACCAGCCCTGGCAGTCCAAGGGCCGGCCTGTTTTCCGCAAATCGGCAAGCAAAGAACTGGCTTCATCTGGGTGTGGGTACACAAATGTATGCACAGATACCCCAACACACCCCTCACACACATGCCTGAAACACACACACGCACACAGGCTTGCACCTACAAACCCTATGAAAAGCAAATCATGCCTGTAGCGTGTCTGTACCGATGACAGTTTCCCAGGTTTGAAATGAACGAGTCATGGAAGATGTTGGCAGCAGAAGGCTGGGAGGATGCTACAAAGAACCTATTATTTTTGCAGCTTCTCGTGAGTCCCAAGTGAGCAAACACTGACTCCGAAACCACAGACTCGGGTCCATCTTTGCAGAAAGGCTTTACTGGGGAGTTTCATTTCCTTTCATTTCTCTGCATCTGACCAAAGGAGGGAAAAAAATGAAGCGCAAGCCGGGCGCGGCGGCTCACGCCTGTGACCCCAGCACTTCAGGAGGCTGAGGCGGGCGGATCACTTGAGGTCAGGAGTTCAAGACCAGCCTGACCAATATGGTGAAACCCCATCTTAAAAAAAAAAAAAAAAAAAAAAAAAAAAAGTGAAGCGCAGACCTCAGGGCAGAGACTCCTCAAACCTCAGGCCCGTCCAGGGACAACGGCTGGAAAGTGCAGCTGGGAGGCCTCGCCCTGCACAGAACACGCCAAGCACATGGTGGACACGGAGCCGGGCCAAGGCGCAGCAGCCCAGGCTCCTGAAGCTCTGCCCTGTAGCATCCGGACATGCAAACCCTGGTCCAGGTGGTTTCCTAAATGGCCCTCATGCCCCTCCCATCCTCCCCCACAGGGAGATGCCGATCACACCCCCTCTCTAACTGCGCCAAGCCCAGGCTCACCACATATTCGTGTTGGGAACACGCACGGCTCAAAGCGGTCTCCAGACCCACAACCCCTCCCTTGCAGCTCCCGTGACACCCCGTGGCTCTGACCCCGAGCCCCCTCCTCAGCATAGGCACCTGCTAAACAGCCAGGGTCCTCGGGCCCTGCACCCTCAGGAGGCGATCCTTAGACCCGAGGTGAACCCAGCTCCCGGGGGTCCTGTGGCATGGAGGGAGAGCTGCCCTGAAGGCTCAGACGGGCAGCAGCAAGAGCAGCTGGAGCCCAGGTGCGCCCTCCCAGGAACAGAGAGCAGTGCTGCCGCTCCACAGGCCTGGATGGTGCAGGCTGGGGACAGGCTCCCTCTGAAGCAGTCCTTGGTGGAAGAGAAACGGGCTTGGCAGGGTGCGGAGAGCCCGGCGGAAAGCCAAGCCCCCAGTGACTGTTCCCCCATTAACTCAGTTCAGGCATCTGGGCGGCCAGGCAGGAAGGGGCCCGCCTCTCTGCAGCAGGTGTGCTGACTCAGCACTGGGCCTCGTGGCTGAAGTCACCTGAGAAGTTGGCAGAGATGGTCAGGGCCAGGCCTAGAGCGCTCAGCAAGATAAACGATGTGACTTGCAGGGACAGCCCTGGAGTCACTGATCTCAAGGACTCCCACCTCCACAGCCCAGGAGGCCACTGGGAGGACACCCCACACTGTCCTAGAATGAACCCCAACTCCTACCCAACCTCTGCAGCCCCTCCCCCCAGCGCCGCTATTCTCAGGGGCCCTCTGACTGACAGGCGGCTAAGCTCCGCCCCTCAGGGTGAGGGTGTCTCTGGAGGGTGAGTGAGGCCAGGGTGTGAGGGGCAGATGCAATGCCCTCTTACAACCTGGCGGGCACTGTCTCCACTCATGCCCTAGTGCCAGGAGCTTATGGAGCCCTCAGGAATCCGACCTCTCTTCCCTGCCCACCCCCTCCCCCAGCAGCCACCCCCGACCTC